CGCCCCCTCAGACCCTTGCCACGCTTGCAACTGCTTTACAAGAGCAATGGCTCTCACTTCCTATTGAACTGATAGACCGCATAATTGAAAGCATCACACATCGCTGTTTGTGCTGTATTGCTTCTAGAGGCAATCATATTCCATATTAAAGGTACTTTTTCTATTGCAAACCGATACTTCCAATTTGTTTATTTTATACATGTGCTAATTTCTATACTACTATTAATGTCTGATAATTTCTTTTTATGTTGTTTAATACCTTACTATGTGTTGTATATTGTGGGTAAGTTTCATAAAATTCCATGTGTAATTTCTTGAGTTATCGCGATTTTTGTGAATTTTCCTTAATTTATGATAACCAGTGTAGTTACGAAATAAATTTAGTCAAATTTGAAATCTTCATGTACTCATTATTGAGTATAGTGACATGATCAAAACTGCATTTACTCTTTTTGAGTACAATGCATTGTCGCCAAAATGATTAATTATGAATTTATTTTTGTTAATTTACTGTTTAGTCTTAAAAATAAGTATGTACTGTTTTTAGCACGTCTTTTTGAGCAAAATGCATTGTCGCCAGAATGACTCATCATGAATTTATTTTTGTTAATTTACTATTTAGTCTTGCAAATAAGTATATGCTGTTTTGAGCATGTCTTTTTGAGCAAAATGCATTGTCGCCAAAATGACACAGCATGAATTCCGCAAATATTGAGAAGCGAAAAAGAGAAATAGCAAATGACTATTAAAATAAAATAGGGTCGATACTTGTTACTTTTTAGCAGATATTTGTAACAGTAATTGTTTCGTGACGTACTAATTTGAACTTAGAAGTAGCAGTTACGATCCATTTCTACTTCTTGGTGAGGCCCTCTTTGGGGAATAGTTCGACCACCATCAGAGATAATAGCAGGATGGCATAATCCGATTAAGGGGATTTCTCGGGATGACGAGTCAATAATTACAGGCTACAAACATTTATTTCATATCGTTTATATTGAGCTAGATTGTATAGAATACTAAAGCGAATTAATAATTTATTTACCCCGGATTTAAAGTATTATGGTTTGGTGTAGATTTATAAAAATAGATCTAAAGAGGAATGAGGTAATAATGTAGCTCTCTATATTTTCTTCAGAAAAGGTTTTGGAATAGTTTCTAATTTTAATCCCTCTTATCAGTTCTTTAAGTGAGACTAAAGAATATGCCACAGAATATATCCTTACATTACTTACTCTTATGTAATCTGAAATGAATTATTCTGTTTTTCTCGTGAATTGATTATAAGTAAAAAAAATAATAATTTTCAGCCTAATACACATTCGATAATTACTTCCTATTTTATTGGGTTAAATGAATTTATTTTAGAAAAATTGGATTGCCTTAATTTTTTTTACAAATAAGTGAATAAGCAAATGAAATTAAACAAATAAATATAAACAAATAAATACAAATATATAAAGAAATATTGGTATCAATTAATGTCTAAAATATAAATGGAATAAAATTTTCAGCTGTCGTAATACAGTACCTTATTTACATGCAATATATTGCTATAACTGGATACATTAAGTTTATAGGGCCGAGATAGCTTGGTTGGTAAGGCGTTGGGTTCATGTCCAAGGTATCGTGAGTTCGATAACCTCCGGTTGAAGTGCGGTGACTCGTGCAAGTTAAATCTGTCAGGTCACAAAGTCCTCCATGTTTCCATAGCAAATCAATACAACTGGGTGTACTGAATTGGAGATTGATCGTTCGCTGGTTCAGGCCTACAATGAAGGCATCTATTTACCTAATTATGCGAAGTGGAAAAAAAGCAACCCCATAGTCCCCTCGGAAGGAACTGGTCATTGATTGGGTTAAGGAATGGCGGTTTATTCGAAAGAAAGTAGCCAGAATTTAGCCTCTCCTTACTGGTAGAATAAGTAATTTTCCTTACTTGTCTTTGATCTTTTCTTCGGTTCTTAAAGTTCTGGAATGAAAGATAAGAATTAATATTATAGGCATGCATTGAAATCTGGTATTGCACAAATAGAAAGACACTATACTTTATTATTATTATTTAGTGTAATCTTCAAACAAGTGAAGACTTAGTCCTCAATGTGACGGTATGTTCACTCAGAGCATTTCCTAGGAAACTGTTTCGTCAAAAGCAAAAAGAAATTTAGTATGAACTTGAAATATTATCTTATGAATTTATTTGAACTTAATTACGAAGCTTTTTTTGTTGTTGTTGCTGTAATAAACAAGATACTGTTGTTCCGGCTTTCTCAATCAATCAAGGACTAAAAAGAATTGGATAAGAAATTAGTTTTCATTAAAATATTACAAATTGTGATTTGGATTAAAAATTGAGTGCTTTTATTTAAAATTTGATATTTCAGTTTACCAGCCACAATTTAATTATATGTTTATTCGTACAAATACAAAAAAACTTCAATTACAGAAACAATCAGCTAAATTTTTATAATTGAAAATTATAATTTAAAATCTTAATTAGCCGAATTCCACAACGAATTAAGACTTATTTTCTTCTTTTTGGGGATATTAAGTATTCCCACTTACTTCAATGAAAAATACATTAAACCGCACCTTAGAAGGTGCGGCGTTCTAAATCCTCGATAACAAAGACGATAAAATCAATAGGGTGACAGCTGCTCACAATAAAACATTATATGTCGCTTTTCTGATCAGCTTTGCTCAAAATATTGATATTGTAATGAATCTTTTGGCCCCTAATTGGGAGTTGAAACCTTCGACTACATTGATTTTGGCGCTTTTAGTGATCATTAGACGAGTTTTCGTGTCAATTACTCGTGTTATTGAGATACTATTATTGCATATCTATGCAATGCATTCCAATTGAAATTAATGAAATTTGCCTTTGGCAAAATCGGGACGAATAATTTCAGGATCTTATTGTCTTTGAAAGGAAGCAAGTGAAGTTATCTTTATCTCAAGGAGAAGAAATAAATGTTTAGCAAGAGCATAATATTTTTTTCTACATCAAATATAAACTGCGGTTTTAAGAAATCAGCTGATCCAATTCAGCTCCCCAAAAAATAAAATTTAAACATGAATTAATAAAAATGTATATTTAATTATATTATTTTTAATTCATTAAACATATTTATAATTAATTAATAAAAATTAATTATAAGTAATTAATTAAAATTATTAATAATTATATAATGTGTATTCAATTTCTTACCATTTACAATTGGTTTGCCATCTATGAAAATCTCTTGAAATTAAGAAAAATCGTAGATCCCACCGGTAAAACTTAATATTACGACATTTTGTTTTGTTACACATAAACTATAAGACTATACACATAAACTATTACACATGAACTATAAGGTGCAAAGGAGTGTAGAAAATGTACCGGGAGTACAATGGAATTAAAAAGTTTAACATTTGATAATTAATTAGAGAATTATGAACCATTAAACTTGTGGGAAAAAAAACAAAAAAAAAAGCACCATGCTGGGTCGCTCTAAACACCGTAGAAATACAACTTCAGAGTTGAAATTTAATATTCATATACCTTCTTTATATATGAACTTAACAGAGAGTTTTATTCAAAATTCTTATTTGTTCGTAAGTTATTGTAATTTTATATGCTTTTTTTGAGAATTTTTAGTTTTTTCCTTTTTTGCTTTACTTTACATTTTATTTTATTTTTGAAAAAAATGCTTAATAACTTCAAAACTAATTCGAAATTGAAGCATGCAAATTTTCATATGTTTTTGACGGTAGTAAACATTTTTTTTACAAAAATATAGAAAAAGAGATAACACTCTTATAATTTCTAAATTTTTCATGATGATGCACTGAGAAAAACAGTATTGAGAAAACTACCAATATACGGAAAAGTTTACCGCGTATCTGATTTCAGGGGAACATCAAAAAGCTCTGTTATTTTTTTACCGAAGCGTTTTAGTAATGATTTCGAAAAAACTAACAATGCTGTATGGTTTTATAATATGTAATAAAATTCGTTAACTGTGGTAATAGTAATTTTAACATGATACCTTAAGGCATGGCATGGAAATCATTCATTCGAATAAATAAGTTTTGTATTTGCTTACTAAATTTGTGTAAATAGGAACTACAGTTTTGAAGATCACAATTTCCGTTAAGCCGTTACCATATGAACGGAAAAATTACCAAATGAATGATTTGATTACAGTATATTTTGGTTTAATTAACCAGAAGAATAATTTTTTTTTACTAGAAAAATCATTACCATACAGTATGTTAATTGTACCAAATTTTTTTTCTCCGTATGTTCATCGGTATATTGAATTAAAAGTTAATGTAGCAATAAATTTCGATTCTAAGCATGCAATTTTGGTGTTTGCTCTTTATTATGCTTTCGGTAATTGCATAACGCTTGCCTGTTAGACACACACACATATATGTTACACATATATACACACATATATAAAAAATAAACAAAAAAATGTGCTTTCTCTGCTGAATAACATTTAGAATTTTTTTTTTCTGTCAAAGCTGTGAAACAAAGCAATCATAAAGTTTAACTCTGACATTTTTATTTTTAACTTTCAGGTATGTTTCCGGCCTCCTTTTTTTAGATCCCCCATGTTTTTGTCGTTAAAGTGGTAGATTTCGGTTTGCATTTTCATGCCTTCGTTTACTTAAGCCTATTTTAAACTTAGTTTGTTCTATTCTAAATGCTGTGGGCATTTCTCGCCTAATAAACACGTGATTGTGTAGAATTGTGACATTTTGCAGCTGATTTGTAATGTACAGCAAAGTATGGTAAACATGTACCATTGAGTGATTTTTCGTGCAAAAAAATTTTAATTTTATGAAGCCTTTAAAATTAGTGGATAATTATTTAAGAAAAAAATCTTATTTCACTTGTATTAATGATTTTGTATTTACGGTTGCATTATTATATTGTATATACGCTTGTATTAATAAAATACATATTTTGTGACAAATGTGATCAATTTAATGTTTGTAATTTGTAGGGAATATCTGCGAACAGCAGCATGCTTGACTGATCAGCACAAGATAGGTAAGAACTTAAGCTTTTTACTTAAAATAAAAAAAATTGAGAGAGATTTATATTTTTCGATTGTTGTATATTTACGTTAAATCTCAATATAATTCGAGAGGAGAATCTCTTTTAAGTCGATACTAATAAATAAAAATATTAAGTTCCTACCAATTTGAATATAAAATGTGGAAATAATAAGTAGCGAAATACTAAAGTGATACGAAATTGTACTTTTGAAAGTACATTTCCTGATTCCAAGTGTTTGATATTCATATAATTCTTGTAATCTTTGTAAGAAACAATCACAATCAATTATTTGACCAATTACAAAACAATTAAATTCATTACTTTGAATTCGTTTCAATTATTAACTAAATTTTTTAGGAAAATAGTCGTAATAATTTCAATTTTATCTACATATATATATAATTAATTAAAAGGAGGATGAGTGTTAAAAATTTTTTTCTTCTGAAATCTATAACTTAGCTATAAAAGAATATCAATTCTAAGTATTGTGTTGGTATTCAAAAATATTCTGCTATTACAAAAATGCTCGCTAAATAACCAGCTTACTTGATTTTAAACACGTGCTACTGGTGGGCTAAGTAAAATATTTCATCAAAAGATCAGTTATTTTTTTTTTCAACTTAGAAAACTGAAATTTAAATTTACGAAATAAAAAAAATCTTTATCGTTGATTTTTAAGTCCATTTTTTATTGAAAACTTGCTTGTTTTTATTTGAAAAAGAGAAACTTGAATATACTTCATAACTTTTTTAGTTCATTGATCATGTTATTTCAGCTATAAGAAAATAATTGTTTTAATTTATAGGTTTTGAATGACAATTGAAAGTTTTATTTCTGCTACTGATTAGGAGCATATTACTGTAAACATTACAGTGTAATATTTTACGATAAAAATGGATTTTACGAATGATGCACTGAAAGTGCCGGTATTCCATGCCGTAATTTGATCCAAAATTTTTAACAGTACGTTACTTTTACCGTAATATTTTTTCTAATTCGTAATTTTTTTACCGTAATTTACCGATTAGGGGCATACTACTGTTAACATTACCGTATAATATTTTACGATAAAAATGGATTTACGAATGATGCACTGAAAATGCCGGTGTTTCATATAGTAATTTGATCGGAAATTTTTAACAGTGTATACAGAACGTTAATTTTACAGTAATTTTTTTTCTATTTCGTATTTTTTTTACCGTAATTTACCGATTAGGGGCATATTACTGTAAACATTACCGTATAATATTTTACGATAAAAAAGGATTTTTGGCACTGAAAATGCTGGTGATTCAGACAGTAATTTGATCCGGAATTTTTAACAGTTTATACAGAACGTTAATTTTACAGTATTTTTTTTCTCCGTGTACTCTTCTGAAACACCTTTTCTTTCCATGCTTTAGCACGTATTTCTTCCCTTAACGAAAATATATACGTGTTACGCAAAACTGAACGAAACTTATTTTACTAAAGGCAGTTTTTTATTTATGCTAGTAAATGAATAAAAATAAATATGAGTACTATGATACTTAATAAATGTAGTATTAGCCAAAGATCAGATATAGCTCCTTAAATATTGAGTGAGAGTCCATTTTGGGATGTTTGCCTCGGGTTATGAGTATATTATCTTCACTCTGTTGCTTTCTTGCATTCTTATTTTTTAATTGAGGAAATGAAAATGTTTTTTCTTCCTCTGAAACCTTCATGGTTTTGGAATATCTTTTTTTTTCTCCTGCTCTTACATTGTTGATGAGTTTTCCACGCAAAATTGAAACATGTGTTCGAAATCCACTTTATCCATTTTTTGTACAACTTAATTCCCGCAAAAGAAATTAAAAAGGATAAGTATGTAATTGTTTTTTGAACCGATTCTTAATGAATGCAAAATATAGTTATTTATGGAAAACGAAGTGTTTTCTTTCATTTTTTCTGACCAAGTCATTAGTTATAATTTTAAAACATCAGTCACTTAATTTTCTTTCTCGTTTTTATTATACAGAAATAAGTATTTTTCTTAGATGAATCACTAACAGTTCAGTAACGAAGAGTCTAAAAATGTATTTTAACAAGAATTTGAAAACCTTTTTTCAAAACCTTGTAAAATGCTAATTTTGTTTTATAAACGCGAAGTGATTTTTACATGGTAAACTGATAAAGCAAAAGCAAAGAATTGTTGGAATCTTCAACATAAAAAATCATTTCAATGTTTTGAAAAATGACAATGTTTTTTACGCATTATCTACTCTGAGAAAAAAGTATTGTCAAAATACCGGGGATATGGTGTTTCTGGCTATATGGGAACACCAAAAAGTCGAAGCGCTTTGGTAGCGATTTGGGTAAAATTAACAATAGATTATGGTTTTATATTGTGAGAAATTTGATAATTTGGTAATAAACATGTTAGAGCATGACATAAAAGCCATTTATTCGATTAAATTTACTTTTTAGTTTTGTTATACTTATTGAATATGTCGTAATAAAAGTACCATAATTTCAAAAATCAGAATTTTCAATAATCCATTTTAAAATTATAAAAACTGACTGTAACTCTTTCTTTATCATTGCCTCCAGTTGAACAGTTTGTTGTTTATTAATTAAAAAAATTCAAATACGAAATGTACACATTTAAGTTTACATTGTACCTAGCGTAAAATAGTCAAATAATAAAATTTCATGCAATGCATGTTTTTGAGCATATGTACAACAATTCCTTAAATGCAAATTATTCAAATAATTGTTTACATTAAGCGAAGATTAGAACTATAAAATTAGTAATAGAAAGTAATGAAGGAATATTTTAAATTTCAAGAACCTTTTGCAAGCAACGCTGAAGTTTGCCAAAATATATTTTTTCATTGAACAGCATACTTTTGTACATTGCACCAAGTGTTATTGAATATAGATTATTGATTATATATGCACCAGGTACATTACACCAATATACCGATGGATTCAAAAGCTTTTAAGTATTGCAATAAGAATAGAGTATGCGTGTAACGTGAAACGTTAAGTGAAATGTGTAACTTAAAATGTGTAGTTAATAGTTTACATAGTATTATAAATACACTGTACAAAAATTCCTAAAAATTCATGGCAACAAACCGTCAGTTGAGACGGTTGAGCAAAATCGAAAAATTTACGAAGTAAATACGTAACCTCGACGGTTTTTCACCATACAAGAACAAGTTTATTCTGTAAATTCAGGAAAATCCGTAACTAGACTGCTTTTTTTTACCGTAACAAAATAATTTCTTACAAAAAAATGTATTAACCAACACTTGCTTTTGAATCTGAAACTAGTTTCAAATGAATAGCTCATTGCAAAAAAATTATAAAAAATTCGCAAAATCTCATTATGCTATTGTTATTATATACCATTATGTTAACTATATACATGCTTTTAGCGTAGCATTGTTTGAACTGAAAATCGCTTCTTAAAACGTTTGAGCGTATATTTTTTTCACATCAATGGGTATTTTTTGAAGAAGTTGATCTTAAAAGTTTTAAGCGAATTCCTCATTCCAAAAAATTATAAAAAAATCGCAAAATTTTCTCGTTTTTTAAGCTATATATATGCATTTTCGTAGCATGGTTTGGACTAAACAAATGCTTCGTAAAAAATATAGGGTATTTATTTTTTCACTTCGATGGGTATTTTTTAAGCATTAGATGCTATCCTGACTATGCCACCATTTGAGCCATGCCACGTTAATAGCATATATATGGTTAATATATAAAGGAAACTTAGTGAATTTTTTTATAAATTTTAGCAATGAGTAATTCATTTAAAACTTGATTCCGTTTTCAAAGTGAGCGTCACTTTTTTTTAAAAAATATCGATATTTTTCAAGAAATCAGAATTCGAAATTTTTAAGAGGGATTTGTTTGCTTACAGTATGAGCATATTTATCGATAACATAATGGAGGACACTTTGCGAATTTTTTAAAACTTATGCCAAGAGAAATTCATTTTAAACTTGTTTCAGATTAAAAGTAAGGGTCCAATTTTTCAACAAATACCCATAGTAGTGAGGAAAGAAATACTCAAAGTTTTTAGGAGGCATTTGTTTCGTCCAAACCATGCTATGCAAGGAGCATATAACATAGTTAACATAATGAAGTTTATTTTGAGAATTTTTAAATTTTTTTTTGCAATGAGAAAATCAGTTTACGAAAGTGAGTGACAATTCTTTCAAAAAACTTTAATGTGTCACGAAATAAGTACTCAAAATTTAATACGTAAAATTTAATAAGTACTCAGAATTGGTTTACTCCAAACAATGCTACGTTAAGAGCGTGTTTATAATTAACATATTAGAGGGCACTTGGCGAATTTTTAAATTTTTTGCAATAAGGAAATAATTTTAAACTTGTTTCAGATTATAAAGTGAGGGTCATTTAAGTAATAACGTCAGTAAGATATTAAAATTATAAGTTCATGAGCTAACTATCCATTTATTATTAAGTACTGTATCTTTTCACGAACTATTTAAACTTCGTTGCAAATTTATAGTTTTCCCTATAAGATTGAACAGCACTCTTCGTTTTGTAACAGTTATAAAAATAACAAACTTAAGTTTTCGTTGTTTTCCTGTTCTTCTCTACATCATTCGTTGTTTTTGCTTTTGTTCGAATTAGATTTGTTAGTATTTTTACACATTAAAAAAAAAAAAAGAATTGTTGACGATTTAATGTTTTTGTAGCCATGACTGTATTTCCTGAGGAGAAAAAGAAGACAGGATTGGAAAATCACTTGGCAAGAATGACGTAAAATCATCAGCAGGACATTCCCACGCAGGAGGATCTCGACAAGAAAAGTCGCCAAATGTCACCATCTGGAGACAATATCTTCTTCCTCTTTACAATGGAATTTAAGAAATGCATTTCTTCCTTTCTTATGTTGGGTAGAAATGGAAAATAAATGTCGTCTGCTGAATTAATCTCGTCTATACCAGACGCTCTTTGATTCTTTGTGTTTCCTTCAAAATTTCGATGTATTTCCTTTTTATTCGCATTTGTTTAAAAACATTTGAATGTTAAATAGCGTTTTTTTATGATTTGAATGCAAATAGTTAACAGTTTTGATATAGTGCAATAATTGGAAACAGAGAGAGAGAATAGAGCTTTGAAAAATCATTTCTTTGTATTTTTTTTTAAAATTTTACGCAAACATATGTATATTTTCTGATTATTCCCAATTATATAATTACACAACAAGTTATAAATATTTTATATTATCACTGCCAGTAGATTACGATTGTTTTATAATTGATAATGGTATAAGAATTGAATTTCAGTAGCAAGCAGAAACTATTTCAATTTCACTTTTACTTAAAATTGAGAATTGACTGCAACGTGACTTCTATATAATGTTTTAAATTCTATACATATGTTGTAATAAGCAATTTAAAAAAATATTAAGTCAAAAATTTAACACAGTAACAAAAACGTTATAAAATTAATTCTAATCAGAAAATCTTTTAAAAAATTCAAAAAAAATAAATAAATGCAACTATATGTTTGCAATGGGGAACTCCCTTAATTTGATCAATTCATTTAATTTAACTATGATCAAAAATTGTTTTTTTTATATACCAGGCAAGAATTTTTCACTCACCAAATATTTAAGGCTGGCGAGTAAATTTCTTCTTCAAAATTTTTGAGTTTGAATTAAACTTCATACGTAACATAGCTACATGTTTAAACTACATAGATTATCAAACCCCAATCCATCAGTATCTGAAAGTGCTTTGAAGACAACTTTCCTCTATTTCGAGCAAAAACTGCTGAGTTGCCTTCTTTGTACAAATGAAACCATTGTTTTTGAAATATTGAAAGCCTATGAGAACCTTATTTTGATTTAATATTGCAATAAATACTTTTAAGTTGAATGTTTTCTTATTCTTTGGTGGTTTTGGTCGCCCAAAAGCTCTTCTTACTATTCTGTTAACATTTCGAAAATTTTTCATATTTTTCATGAATGTAAAATTGTGGTGAGCAAAAAATTCTAGCCTGCCGGGTATCTTTAAAATCGAAATTTCATGCCGTGCTGTTAAGCATTATATATAAAAAGTTCGTGATCTTTTATATCAAACATACAATTGTTCATAGTTACAGTAAACATACATATAGTAAACATACATAGTTCATACAATTGTTATATCAAACATACAATGTTGTTCATAGTTACACAAGTGTAAGCCGTGGTGGCTCTGGCGATAGAGCACTCGCCTCCCAATCGGATGACCCAGGTTCGAATCCCAAGAATGTCTGGTCGATACGAGTCCTGCACCCGACTCGCACCGACCACAATGCTGACGTAAAATATCCTCAGTGGTAGATGAATCATAGGTTAGAGTACTCATGCCTACAGGCCAACCGTGAGAGAATTTCGAGATTTTTCCGTGCAATGCAAATGCGTGTTAATTTCATCAAAAAGTCCTCCACGAATTTCCCCCAATACTTCATTCAGTAGTTTCCTTGCTTTCTAGAATTGGGTACAAAGTTACAAGACTATGCAGTTGAACATTAGTAGTCGTAAACCCAAAATTGTGTCTGTTGTTCAATGATTCAAAATCAAAATAAATCAATTCAAAATCAAAATAAATTCAAAATCAAAATAAAAACTACAGTGGCGTGTATACACAGACAGATGAGCGTTAAATCTGTCATAGTTAGGATGTGGAAGTTGAGAAAGGGGTACGAGTTCATGTGCTATCCACGTCGTCTGACATGGCTCAATATTGCGTCGCATTTCTCCTACCGTCGTTAAAAGATAGAGTCTTAAAAATAGAGCAAGGCTCTTAATAACCCTGGTTGGGTGATGATAATGATAATTTCAGTCGACATAAATGTATAATTTTTTATTCGCAAATAATTCGCATTAAATTAATTTAAATTAATTCAAATCATTCAATACAACAATGGGAAAAATTTTTTGGACCTTTATAAGAGATTTTGCACCTTGTAACACTGAAACACTGTCACTTATTATTTTTTTAGTGATATTAAAAGGCTGTAATTTTGTTTAAGTTATAAAAAGTCTGTGTATGAATATACATTCAATATAAATAATGTAATAAATTAAAGGCAAGCAATTTAATAAATTTTAGTATGAATTGAGATGGCATAAAAAGTTTCTGAAGGAAAAAGGATTGAATGATTTTTTAAGTTTCCTTTTTTTGTTGCAAAATAAGAATGTGACTAAACACAAAATCTGAAATAATACCTTTTCACAGGAATAAAATTAGAATAAATTTATACTGTTATAATCGATTTGAATAAACAATAATTTTTTAATATAATAATTTTTAAATGTCATGTCATAAATCAATTTGTTTGAAAATTTCTTTTATGCGCTTAATTCTAATTGTTTATATTCCAGTTTCTAAAATGGCGTAAGTGGTCTCCTCAATTGACTTGACTAAGTAAAAGCAAACGTTATAAGGCGTTGATCAAATATTATGAAAAATGACCTGAAGTGATTTAAAAGTGAGTAAATATTATTTCTAGTGAATTGGAAACACAAATCATCCTCATGTCTGAATTAAAATTGTGCAGTTTGGGAAGAAAGACACATTTTTTCATGAAACAATATTTTCTCAAAAAAAAAAAAAAAATTCATCCTTTTAAACAGACATTGAAATTATTCAGTTCAGTGACATCTCTGCTTGTCTTAATTTTGAACTATGTTGTAATATATAGTTTATATTCATATTGCATATTATTGTGTTAATATATATAGTTAATTATTTAAGGAAAGGTACATTTTCAATTGATCTTGAATTATATTTTCATTAAATAATCATACAGTGGATTACATGATTATCTAGTGAAATCTTGTTTATAATTGTTATTTTCCTTATTTCACTATTAATGCAATTATAATTATAGCTTAAAATTAAATTTTAATCACAAAAAATGATCATTTGAATTAGTTCAAAATTTATTCAAATTTTTAAGTAGAAAATGTACTGAAAACTCTAACTGATTGCAGATAAATGAGAAATATTAAAATTTTAATTAAAAGTGATGCGAAATTTGAATTTTTTATTAATTTGATGCAAAATAGAGTATTTAAGAAGTTTTAACGCAACTAAGCAATGATAGAAATTAAAACGAATAATGGCAAATTTAAATTATTATAGAATGGATGCGATTAAGTGTTGTTTTAATGGCCATCATAAGAAAAGTTGAGTCATTTAATCAAAAATAAATGAATTAAAAAATATGTATGCAAAAAAATTAGAAATAATTTATCTATTTTATGAAAATCTCAAAACTGGTGCTACATTGTGCAATGCGCAAAAAAAAAAAAAAAGAAAAGAAAAAAAATGGACTGCAGTGAATCACTTTTAATCAAATGATTGGTTCTTCTCGTTCTAGGACTCAAGCTTAATTGTTTGAGGGGGTGTCGAGTATGTTTTAGTGTCGGATTTCGTAACTTAAAAAATAGTCTGCTCTAATTAATTAGCATATTTGATGTCCCCCTCACGAAACATTAAGATTGAGTTCTAAAACGTGAAAATCGAACTAATGATATCAAAAATTATTCAGATTTAGTCGATTTTTTTTGCACACTCCATACGGTATTCACATTAGTAACAAAGAAACTAGATGAAATTTCACTAATTAAAATCATTTCAAAAATAGATAATTTTCGGAAGAAACTACTCTAAACTTATTTTGAAAAAAAAAATATATGTATAGATAATGCAATATGGATAAATTCTTATATTCATTTTAAATTTGTGGGTTAAACAATTTCCCCCAACCATCACATCATATCATGAATAAAATGTAATATTAGCTTGTAGCCTCAGTCCTTAAAATAAGCATGTGTATTTTCTTAACAATCAGAAGAAGTTCAAGGAACATTATAATAAAATAACATATTATCTGACAAGTCCCTTGTATAAACTTTCCCAAACGGGAAAGACGAAATCTGTCGCCAATAAACAACCTTTCCCTCCAGATTCATAATCAGGAAGCGCACACACCAAGTCCCTATGTATAGTAACAAGACTAACGAATTTATAGCTCTTTTGGCTATGAAGTTGAATGATCTAGTTTTAACAATTCAAACATGGCATGGCGTCAATTACCCAACTGGTTGACACTTAAGTCCAAAATATGTGACTATAGTTCAAATACTAATGAAGATAGGAAGTCGGTAGGCATTAAAAGCTAATGGTGATTATATAGGTTTGTTTTGATATGGGTGAATGGGATGTGTTTTAGTGCGATAATACCTTGCAAGAAGAAATAAAAGTTGAGTTATTGTCAGTGAAGCAAGATATTACACCATTGGTGTTTATCTATTGGGATGTATTTTATTTTAGGGGGTGTTATTGTTCACGCTAGGATACTATGCATTAGAAATTTTCCTTCAGCAGCTTACTTATTTATTTATTTATTTTTGTCGAACACACTACGACATTTATGTTACATGAATAAATAGTTGCAAATAACCTATCTTATAGAACTCACCTCTGCCTCATGATTTTGATTAACTGGATAGGGAATCTAAGATTTGTTACATATGTTTTTAAAATTATTTTTTTAGCGTCACTGTTATATAGATAATAGCATTAATTTAATTTGCATAGCTGTTTGAAAATAGTGATCAGAGATAAAAATAGTAAGCTTTTTTATTAGTAATTTAGAATTTAAGCTAACTATCTTAATCTGCATTTTAAATCTATTTTTGTTTACATTTTTAATCTACATCAACATTACACATTCCTAATGTCTAATATTAAGCATCAAATCTATTTGACTTCACCAATACTGAAATATGCAATAAAAAATTAAGTTAGAGCAAGGAATCAGTTTTGAGCTTTTTAAATAGTAATTTAGTATTGAAGCTAGCCATTTTTATTTAAATTTTTTTTAAATATTACTTCACTTTCATAATGTCTAA